ACCAAATTATTTTCCACCGAAGCAATTTATTAATGCTCTCTCCAATTAAACTAGAATATAAATTTAATTTTTATACCCCGAAAAAAAGCAAGTTAAAAAGTAAAAAAAAAAAAATTTACAAGTAATAATAAATATAGAAGAGAGAGAGAGAGAGAGAGAGAGAGAGAGAGCAGAAAAAAACATTGAGAATAATTGCAGTGATTATAAAGTTTTACTGGTATACACACATACAGACACTGACAAATGTTCAAACATTAGACACTCGAGAACTGAATGGTTTGTTTGCCAATTTAAACATTTGAAAATGATTCCATCAAATCCAAAACTTTAATGAAGTTGTAATCAAATATTTAGAAAACACACAATTGTGTATATATATACCAGTTTCATTTCGTCAACAATCGGAAATTTACTTTTAGATACTGCGAGCATTTTGAAATGGAAACTAAATATTTAGTTAAATGAAAAAAAAATTTTTTTATTAATTTTGACAAAAAAAAAAATAGAAAAAAAATAATAATTTTGACAAAAAAATGGAAAAAAATATTAATTTTAACAAAAAATAGAAAAAAATATTAATTTTGACAAAAAAAAATAAAAAAAAAATAGATTAAAGATAGAGATAAATTGGATATGTTAGAGATAGAATTATTAAAGTCCATTATCGATATAGAACTAACAATTGTAATAAAATTATTTTATATAACAAAAATGTTAATGTTCATTTTAAAATTCAAATGGAAGAAAAAAAGAATAAAACGTCAAGTTGAAAAATATTTTCCGTTTAGGTGACAACTGAAATTAAAATCTGAACAAAATGTGTATTTCGTCCATAGATATAAAAGTCGAAATTGACAAAACAATGAAGCGTGCATGTTCTCTTTGTTTTTTTTTTTTAATTAAACATCCTTCACACTTTTCGATACCGATTAAATTCTTTATACTTTAACAAAAAAAATGTATTTTATTATTATTCAGATGAATTTTTCTAAATGGAAATTGCAATTTTTTTCGAAACAAAGAGAAAAATATTAAACTTTTTTTTATTTTACTCGTGGGGTCGATTATGTAATTTCATTTTTACTTTGACTTTTATTTCCACTTTCATTTTTACTTTCATTTTCATAGATTTTTATTTTTTATTTTTATTTTTTCATTTTTATTTTGACTGTGACTTTTATTTTCCCTCTCACTTTGACAGATTTTCATTTTCACTATTCCTTTGATAGATTTTTATTTTCACTGTCACTGATAGATTTTTATTTTCATTTTCATATTCAGATGTTAAATTTTTATAAATTCGTTGTGTAAGAATTCAATTATTTTCATAAATAATAAAATTTTTAATAGGATTTCAATTATTTTCAATACAATTTCAAATAATGACATTCTTCGCAGAAATTCAAATATTTTCAAAATTTAAAAATTATTTTTAAAAAAATGTAATAAAAATTCGATGTAAGAATTTAATTATTTTCCAAAATAATAAAATTCTTCACAGGATTTCAATTTTAATTATTTTTAATAATTTTTGCAAAAGTTCCTTGCAAATTTTCAATTTGTTTATAATTCAATTTTACAAAATTTCGATTATTCGGAAATTCTTCAGTTAATTATTTAAAAATTCAAACTTGAAAGAATTAAAAAAAATTTTATTGAACAATTTTGTTTAAATAATTGAAATTTTGACAAGAAGTTTATTAAAATTTTTGACAATAATCTAATTCTTGAGAAGAATTTCGCTACCTATTTATAAAGATAATTTAATTATTGACCAGAATTTTTTAAAAATTTTGAAAATAATTTAATTTCTGAAAAGTATTTTATTACTTTTCAAAAAAATTTAATTCTTGTGATAAATTTTAATATTTATGAAAATAATTTAATTTTGGTAAAGAAATTTATTAAAATTCCTTAAAATAATTGATTTTATTGGGAGAATTTTGTTGTTTAACAAGATAATTCAATTCTTTTGCAGAATTTCTTAAAAAAATTTTAAAAATAATTGATTTCCTGAGACGAATTAAAAGTAATTTATGAAAATAATTGAATCATTGCAACGAATTTTATTATTTTATTGAATAATTGAATGTTTCTTAAATTTGAATTCTTTCGTCCAATTTTAATAAAATTTTTAAGAAAAACTGCATATTTCGAGGAATTTATTTAAAATTGTATTGAAAATATTTAAAATCCTGCAGTAAAAATAATTCAATTCCAAAATGAAATTTTATTATTTATGAAAATAACTGAATGTATTCGTAGAATTTTATCAATAATTGTTTTCAATAATTAAATTTTCTGATAAATTTTATGAAAATACTAAATATCAAAAATCAATGAATTATGAAAAACTTTTAAAAATAATGGAAATTTTGCAAAGAATTTTATTTAAATTTTTGAAAATAATTGAATTTTAACGAAAAATTTTGCTATTTATAAAGATTGAAATGAATTCTTGACGAAATAATCATTAAAATTTATTTAAATAATTGAATTTCTTCGAAGAATTTTATTACTTTTGAAAATAATTTAATTCTTGTGATGAATATTGTTATTTATAAAAATAATTGAATTTTGCAAAAAGGTTTTTTTAAATTCCTAAAAATAATTGAATCTTTGTAAAGAATCTTGTTATTTATCAAGAAAATTGCATTAAAACTTTTGAAAAAATTAAATAATATTAAAAAATTCATTCTGGTTAGAAATAGAAAAAATTTTTGAAGGTTTTGTATTAGAATTCGTGATAGTTTGATAGAGTTTATCGAGCAAATAAAAAAGACACTAAAAATTCAGAATTTTCTTATGAATTTCAAAAATTAAATTTTTTCTAGTACTTTTAATAAAAATCCCTGACTTTTCCCTAAATTTCCTGATTTCCCTGATCTGTGTCAACCCTGATTAAATAAAAAAAAAGTAAATAAATATACAAGAAATGAAATAAAATAGTAAATAAAAAAAGTAGTTAATAAAAAATAAAAGAATTAAATTAAAAATAAAATAAAAATATAAAACCAAAAATTAAACCTATTTGAAAAAAATAAAAAAAAAACAGTAAAGTGTTAGAAATTTGATATTATTTCTGATGATTAGTGAAATGTTAAAAGACATGATGGCGACGAAAGCTGTAATTCATTGGGCGAGCAAAGAGAGTTTGAGGAAGATTCCTTTGGATATATTGGCATAAGCATTAGTATCGGAGTGCCAGTATTCTACTGCATGGAGTGTCTTTTACCGCAATATGCGATCTCGCGCCTCTAGCATAAATCACTTTTCGCAATATCATCGGATGTCCTTAGTATATATATATATATTGCATTGTGGAACGACTTTCGCACTTTCAAACGTCTAGAGACATCGACTAACATATTTCTCTATATTCTTTTTTTTACCCCACACTCTATAGTGTACACATTTTGGTACTGTTTTCGATCATCTCTCTAAATTTTAATTAGTAAAATTTTTTACTAATTTGAATTAGTGACTGACTTGTTGCTTTTGAATTAGTAAATTTTACTAATAAATAGTCATTTCTACTAATTCTTCATAAATTTTATTAATAAATAGTAATTTCTACTAATTTCTTAGTAAATTTTACTAATAACTGACTTTTTCATTTTGAATTAGTAAATTTTACTAATAAATTTTTTATTTTCAAATATGAATTTTTGAATAATTTCAGATTCAAACTTTTAAAAAAATTCAATTATTAACTAATTTACTAATTAATTATTCTTGTTTATTAATTTTTAAAATTTTAATAAAATTCTTCACAAGAATTAAATTTTTTGCATAAATTATAACATTCAATTATTTATAATTTTTGCAAAATCCAATTTTTTTTTGTTTTCAACAGAAATTTGAAAAAAAAATTTTTTAATTTTATTATTTTTAAAGTTGCTAATTTTATTGAAAAAAGTAAACAAGTAGTTAGCCGCGTGACTTATTGCTAGTATTTACTGCTCAATTGAGAGGAGTTATATCTGGCGCCAATTGTTATTAATATAAGAATTAATATTTTATTTTGCATTACAAAAAATAAAAAAAATAAATTGTTTAAAAGTTCTGGTACTGAGTGATAATAATTTTCATTAAACAATATTTGAATCCTAACACAAAAAAAATCTGAACTCATTTTTGTTGTTTAGCATTTTGAGTTGCATTTCGACAATACTGTACTAATAAATATAGTAGTTTCTGCTAATTTATTAGTAAAATTTACTTCAAAAAAAATTTAATTTAATTCAACAGAAGAAAGTCAGTCGCTAATTCAAATTAGTGGACATTTTTACAAATTCAAATTTATAGAGACAGAAAGAACAGCTTCACTAGGGAACTAGTATTAAAATCTAGTATAAAAATTCTATTATAGAATTTAAAAAATTTTTACTGTAGAACAATTCTAAAATTGTAATAGTACATCGTTATAAACCGAACAAAATCCAAAATCCGTTTTCGAGATTTTTTCATATCACTTTTCATCCAATTTCATTGTTTCTGCAAAAAAGAGAAGGAATCTTTTTTGCAAAAATAATAAATATTAATTAGTTTATTAATAAAATAATAAACTAATATTCCCCTAAAAAATTTATATTTCTCACTAACCAAAAAAATGAGTAACTTTATATAATCCCTTTGCAAAAATTCATGATTTGCGTCTGTTCAGTAATATGTCAATGATACAATAAAAGTCGAATTTTGCAGTCATCGTGCGGTTTTTGGGGTCAGAGTATAGAGACGACCGCAATATTTTATGACATTTTACAAGCATGAGCTTTGGTCACAAATACTCGTTTATTAGTTCCGTCGATTACATTTATGCGCTAAATTAAAGGCTGTGGGTGGTTATATCGTTAAAAATTTAATGATTTATCTCGAAGCTGTCGAATGATTTGTGCGAATTTGCTTTTCAAATATTTGATCTATACTTGCTTTTCGGTTATTATTAATATTATTATTTATTTTACCATGCAGGGATGAAAAAAAAACAATTCACTTACCAATATAATTACTGCCAGGTCACTTCAAAATAATCCCCCAGTGTTTGCTTTCCAAATGTTTATGGTCCACATTGACGGATTGTATCCACACAAATTTTCAAAGGAAGAAGTTTCTGAAAATAAATTATTGAGAATATTATTAATTGATTAATAAATTAATAACTAAAACGAAAAAAATATGAATTAAAACTGTTTTTCAAAGTTATCACTTGGTCACAAAGTCAAATCACAACTAGAATTAGAAATTAAAAATTTAAATTCAAGTTCTTTTTTAATCGCGACTGTTGGGAAATATTTCTATCGAACGACCACATCAACAATAAACGTGATGAGTATGTGACAAATTTCAAGTATTTACAAAATGCTCAGTAAAATTCGAAAACGTGTAATTTGTAAACAGATTGGAATGTCAATTTTACGCTCCATACGATTTCGATTGACTCTGACAAATTGTTTCGTTGTTGTTTTTTTTTCAAAGTTTACAAAACACAATCCACTCTCATGAACTAGAAATTCAGAAAAAAAGAACGATTTGAAAAAATCAACAGAGGGAAAACAAGATCTGATGCTATAGTAGTAATCAGGAAATCCAATTTTATACTTTTACTAACCAGAATAGAATTTGTTTCGAATTCAAAAAATACCTAAAGTTCCTCTCTTTCTCTTCTGAGTAAATAAATGAAATTACTTTTTTTTATCAAAATTGTACTTTTAATCTTCAATCATCTACAAGAAAAAAATTTTTTTTTCTTGTATTAAAATTAATTCCAGTATAAAATTTTCCATTGATTGCGAAATAGAACAAGAAATAATACAGAAAAAATAAGTGAACTGAGAATTTCATTGCTAATAAGCAATAAATCTCGAGAGTTGTAAAATTTTATCGAGTCTGCGGCAAAAAAAAAAAAGAAAGATATACAAAGAAAAAAAATAATATACATTATAATTAAAAATACTGATAATGATTGTGGGTGTCGATGTGAATTTTATGCCGAGAGTAATTAGTGGTGGTAAGTCGTTAGCGTTAATGAATAAGTAAGGTTAATTTGCGAATGGATTTCACACTCGTTAATACCCGAGGGCATCCATTTCATTATTGAGAGACTAAAACTAACTAAAACCTTTCGAACCCTCGTGCGCGTGAGCAGTTATACAAATTCAGTCTTGCTTCCTCCTTTCCACTCAGATAAACCCCTTTTCCAATCGTTTTCTATATATATATGTATACTTCTTCTTTTTTTTTCTTTTCACTCTCACCCCTTTGCACAACCCGGGGGTTTCAACAAACTTCATACTGAATTTTGCATCGCGACCTTTTTCGGCTCTTCTGCACGAATTTCACTTGACATATCACAGACTGTCGTCTCGAATGTGACAAAATGTCAAAAAAAAAGAGAGAAAAAGAGAGAGAGAGAGAGAGAGAGAGAGAGAGAGAGAGAGGGAAGGAAAATAAGTACCTATCTGAGTTCTTTATTCGTCAACACTTGAAGAAAAAATTCCCCCTCTATCATTCTCTTTCTTTCTTTCTTCGTTTCTTTTAAAAGTTAAAGTCAAAAAGTTAAAATTGTTAAAGTAAAAATCAATTCGAAATTCAGAGTTAAAGTTAAAATCAAGATCAAAGTCGAAATCTATATAAAAGTCGATGTCAAAGTTAAAGGCAAAATCTATGTGCAGACAAAGTCAATGAAAAGTTAAAAAAAATGCCAAAGTCAAAATCGTTAGTCAAAGGCAAAATCTAAGTTAAAGTTAAAGTCAAAATATAAGTGTAAGTCGATGTCAAAGTTAAAGTCAAAGTTGAAATCAAAATCAAAGTGAAGACAAAGTCAAAAAATAAATGACAAAGGGCTCGGTGAAACTAGCGACCCGCCGGCCGCCAGCCATCAGAAAAACCCATAGGCGCCGACACACATAGTAGCGCGGTGGCCCTATACGGTTCAATCAACGCAAAAACAACGTACGCTAGCTATTACAGTTTATAGAAAAAAATGCAATAGTCACATTTTAAAGAGCAATAATCCCCCTTAAATTTGTGACCAAAAAATAAAAATTTGGTCTAAAATTGTTCGAATTTTTGATAGTCAGCGTCCCCACCCGCCCGCATCAGAAAAACGAAAATTGAAAAAAAAATCGGAAAAAAATTCATAACTCGAATAATTTAAGACCAATTCTTTGTTTCTTGGTCACAAATTAAAGGGGGATTAATGGTCCTTCAAATGTGACCAATAAGAATTTATTTAAAAAATATTTGATAGTCAGCGTCCCCACCTGCCCGTATCAGAAAAACGAAAATTAAAAAAAATCGAAAAAAAATTCATAACTCGAATAATTTAAGACCAAATGCTTATTTCTTTGTCAGAAATTAAAGGGGGATTATTGCTCTTCAAGATGTGACAATTGAAAATATTTTTAATAAACTTTTGATAGCCAGCGTCCCCACCCGCCCGTATCAGAAAAACGAAAATTGGAAAAAAATCGGAAAAAAATTCATAACTCGAATAATTTTTGACCAATTCTTTGTTTCTTGGTCGCAAATTAAAGGGGGAATATTGCTCTTCAAAATGTGACAATTGAAAATATTTTTAATAAACTTTTGATAGCCAGCGTCCCCACCCGCCCGCATCAGAAAAACGAAAATTGGGAAAAAAATCGGAAAAAAATTCATAACTCGAATAATTTAAGACCAAATGCTTATTTCTTTGTCAGAAATTAAAGGGGGATTATTGCTCTTCAAGATGTGACAATTGAAAATATTTTTAATAAACTTTTGATAGCCAGCGTCCCCACCCGCCCGTATCAGAAAAACGAAAATTGGAAAAAAATCGGAAAAAAATTCATAACTCGAATAATTTTTGACCAATTCTTTGTTTCTTGGTCGCAAATTAAAGGGGGAATATTGCTCTTCAAAATGTGACAATTGAAAATATTTTTAATAAACTTTTGATAGCCAGCGTCCCCACCCGCCCGCATCAGAAAAACGAAAATTGGAAAAAAAATCGGAAAAAAATTCAAAACTCGAATAATTTTTGACTAATTCTTTTTTTCTTGGTCGCAAATTAAAGGGGGATTATTGCTCTTTAAAATATGACAATTGGAAATATTTTAAATAAATTTTTGATAGTCAGCGTCCCCACCCGCCCGTATCAGAAAAACGAAAATTGGAAAATAAATCGAAAAAAAATTCATAACTCGAACAATTTCAGACCAAATGCTTATTTCTTGGTCAGAAATTAAAGGGGGATTAATGGTCCTTACAATGTGGCCAATAAGAATTTATTTAAAAAAATTTTGATAGTCAGCGTTCCCACCCGCCCGTATCAGAAAAACAAAAATGGAAAAAAGAATCGGAAAAAAATTCATAACTCGAATAATTTTTGACCAATTCTTTGTTTCTTGGACTCAAATTAAAGGGGGATTATTGCTCTTCAAAATGTGACAATTAAAAATATTTTTAATAAATTTTTGATAGCCAGCGTCCCAACCCGCCCGTATCAGAAAAACGAAAATTGAAAAATAAACCGAAAAAAAATTCATAACTTGAACAATTTTAGATTAAATGTTTATTTCTTTGTCAGAAATTAAAGGGGGATTATTGCTCTTTAAAATGTGACTATTGCATTTTTTTTCTATAAACTGTAATAGCTAGCGTACGTTTTTTTTGCGTTAATTGAACCGTATAGGGCCACCGCGCTACTATGTGTGTCGGCGCCTATGGATTCTTCTGATGGGTGGCGGCCGGCGGGTCGCTAGTTTAACCGAGCCATGACAAAGTAAAAATCGTAAGTCAAAGTCAAAATCTAAGTGAAAATAAATGTTAAATTCAAAAAATCAATGTTAAAGTGAAAATCAAAACGAAAGTCAAAGTTAAAATCATAATCTAAGTCAAGACAAAGTCAAAGTCAAAATCTAAGTAAAAGTAGAAGTTAAAGTCAAAAAGTCAATGTCAAAGTTAAAATCAAGATCAAAGTCGAAATCTATGTGAAAGTCGATGTCAAAGTTAAAGTCAAAATCTAACTGAAGACAAAGTCAAAGTCAAAGTAAAAATCGTTAGTCAAAGTCAAAATCTAAGTGAAAGTAAAAGTTAAAGTTAAAAAATCAATGTTAAAGTGAAAATCAAAACAAAAGTCAAAGTTAAAATCATAATCTAAGTCAAGACAAAGTTAATGTCAAAGTAAAAATCGTGAATCAAAGTCAAAATCTGAGTGAAAGTAGAAGTTAAAGTCAAGAAATCAATGTTAAAGTAAAAATCAAAACGAAAGTCAAAGTTAAATTCAAAATCTAAGTGAAAGTAAAAGTCAAAGTTAAAATAAAATTATGAAAGTTAAAGCCAAAGTTTGATGTTTAATTGTAAAACTTAACTTTGATTCGAATTTGACTTAGACGTTAACTTTGACATTTATTTTTTGAATTTAATCATAAAATTCGTATTTGACTTAAAATTTAACTTTTAGTTTGATTTTAAATCAATCTGATAGTTAAAGTGAAGGTCAAAGTCAAAGCCAAGAAGTCAATGTCAAAATAAAAATCGAATCGTAAATCAAAATCAAAATCTATGTGAAAGTTAAAGTTGAATTCAAAATCTAAGTGAAAGTCAAAGTTTAAGTAAAAATCAAAGTCAATGTCAAAGTCAATGTCAAAAAGTGAATGTGAAAATAAAAATCGAATTAAAAATCAATGTTAAAGTCAAAATCGTAATGAAAATCAATGCCAAAGTTAATATGTATAATAAAGATAATATTAAAGTCAAACTCGAATCGAAAGTCAAAGTTAAAGTCAAAATCAAAGTAAAATTCAATGTCAAATTCACATATGAAGTCAAAAAGACAATATTAAAGTAAAAATCGAGTCGAAAATAAAAGTCAAATTCAAAATCAAATCGAAAGTCAAAGTCAAAATCAAAATTGAAGTGAAAGGCGATGTCAAAGTTAAAGTCAAAATCAATGTTAAAGTCAAAATGTAATTAAGACTAATATTCCAAGTCAAACTCAATGTCAAAGTTGAAGTCACAATCTAAGTGAAAGTCAAAGCTGAATTCAAAATCTGAGTGAAAGTCAAAGTCAAAGTTAAAAACAAATTAAAGTGATAGCAACTATCACTTTTTGATTTTAACTTTGAC